ATGTGGAGAGAAGGGAACTCTCATACACTGCTGGTGGGAGTGCAAACTGGTGCAGCCACTATGGAAAACAGTATGGAGATTCCTCAAAAAATTAAGGATAGAACTACCATGCGGCCCAGCTATTCCACTGCTGGGTATTTATCCAAAGAATATGAAAACACCAATGCATAAAGATACATGCACACCTGTGTTCATTGCAGTGTTATTCACCATAGCCAAGACTTGGAAGCAACCTAAGTGCCCATCAAGGGACGAATGGATAAAGATGTGGTATATATACACAATGGAATACTACTCAGCCATAAGAAACGATGAAATCCAGCCACATGTGATGACATGGACGGACATTGAGGGTATTATGCAAAGTGAAATAAGTCAGAGGGAGAAGGTCAAATACCGTATGATCTCACTCATTAAGTAGTAGATAATAACAACAAACAAACACATAGAGACAGAGATTGAATTGGTGGTTACCAGAGGGGAAGGTGGGAGGGAGGAGGGTGAAAGGGATAATTAGGCACATGTGTGTGGTGATGGATTGTAAATAGTATTTGGATGGCGAACATGAGAACATGATGTAATCCATGCAGAAACAGAAGTATAATGAGGTACACTTGAAATTTATACAATGTTATAAACCAATGTTACCACAATAAAGCAAAAAAAAAAAAAAAAAAAAGAATCATTTGACTGGTTATCAAGTACCGTGGTGGCACAAATTTCTGGTGATAAAAGACTGGTTTATTCAGATTTGAAACTCCCTTTATAACTGTGTTACCAAAATCCCAGTTCCCACTGTACCTGTTTCTTTCAGGAGATTCCAGATGTCTCTGCATTTATGGATCTGTTCACATGCACGATTCAGTAACTTGGTCTATTTGGCAACAATGCAATGAGAAAATTAGTCTCAACCAAACAAAACTTTAAGCAAATTAAAACAATCTCATATCATTTTCATTAAAAATAGTTAAAAATAAAATATAGAAAAATGATAGTTTAAACTAGACATCCTAGAATTTATATAGAAATATTAGCCTCTATTCGTACTTTTCCTTAATGTCCCAGGAAAATGAGGATTAAATAGAAAATCTTGAGCATTATCAATTTCTTTAATACTCTAGGACAAAAGAGAAGCACTTCCAGAACTGTGGTGTGAGGACCTCCATGGACCGTCTCCCTAGCAAAACAACTATAAGTGGTGAAAATTATAAAACACAATCATAGACAGGCTTACGAAATTGCCCTAAGGGCATACAGTAAATGGGGAAATATCTATTCCAGGAAATCTACTAAGTGTCAGTAACAACAGTGAGCACCTGTGGCAGTTGAGCCACAATCTGCTCAGTGTGATGTAAGCACTACTTTAGGTGGGTGAGGCCAAGAAGATGGGACTCCCTTTACCCTCAGCTTCCACAGGATTCCAAGAAGGGGCATGCTGCCAGAACTTCTCATCCCCCTCCCCCAGGTCTGTATTGCATAAGCTTATTACAAACAAGCACAACTGAGAGGCCTGGAGCTCTCTTCCTCTACCCAGTCCCTATACCAGGCACAGCAAATTGAGAATACTGGGTCTCAATTGCCCTCACCTCAGCTTGCATGTAGGATAGAGTTTCCATACTGGGAGAGGCAAGCCAAGGATGCCAGGGACTCCAACACCTGCCTAGCCCCCCACTTATAGAGCTGGACTGTCATCCTGATAAAAATGGGCCACTGTCCCCACCTCCAGCTCCAAAACAGTGGTACAGAGTTTCTGCTCAGGAGGAGAGGCAGGTCATTAGAAGAGTGAGCTCTGTAGCTCTCCCTAAGGGGACTGACTTTAATTGGAACAGAACTTGGTGAAGTTATAGTCTGAGGGCACTATAAAAAACCACGGAGATTTTGATGGTAAGCAATTAAGAAGAGTCTGGTAGCTCAATGATATCAACAAGCAAAACAGTAGACCAGCTAGAAGTTTACAGAGAGAACCAGGGGAAAAGAAAGCTAAGCAGATACCTACCCCTTCAAAGGGGCCTTACTTTAACTGGATCAGACTGTGGAGCAATTTATGCAAAATAGTGTTTTCAAACACACACATACACACACACACACAGCAACCTAGTAATTACTCAAGACTAACATCTGGGTGTGATACCAATAGAAGAAGATTATTCAGAAGCTTTACCTGGAGATCAGGGAAAGAGACAGGAAAAAATAACCCTGCTAAAACCACTTTCATCCCTTTGCAGGGGAGGGATCAGGGTGACTGCACAGGCAAAGACCATGACCTCTGAGGAGTGGTATCAGAAGCTGTACATTTCTGTACAAGGGGGGAAATAGACTTCCTGAACTAGCCTAGCCAAGTCACTAAACAAATAAACAAGCAAATATTAACAACAACAAGCCCCAGAGGGGGGATCAGTATCCAAAGGCACTCTAATATATTATCTAAAATGTCCAGTTTTCAACAAAAAATTATGAGGTATGCAAAGAAACAGAAAAGTATGACCCACATGCAGGAAAAAAGCAGGCAACAAGAACTGACTTTGAAAAGGCCCAGATGTTGAACTTTGCAGACACAGATTTCAAAGCAGCTATTTTAAATATGTTCAAACAACTAAAGGATACCACACTTAAGGAAGGTATGATAACAATGCCTCAGCAAATATGGAATCTCAATAAAGAAGGCAGTGGGATAACATATTCAATGTGATGAAATAAAATAACAGTCAACCTAAGAATCTAATATCCAGCAAAACTATCTTTCTGAACTGAAAGCAAAATAAATTCCCAGATAAACAAAAACTGAGAGAATCTGTTGCTAGCAGAATGATTTTACAAAAATGCTAAGAGAAGTTCTTCAAGGCTGAAAGCAAGTGACACCAGATAGTAATTTGAATCCAAATGAAAAAACAAAGTGCACTGGTAAAAGTAATTATGTACCTATAAAAGATTACATAAATACATATTTCTTTTTTCTTCTCTTAACTGTTTTAAAAAGCAATTATATAGAGAGTGACGTCAGCATCATGGCGGAGTGAGCTTTCCCGTGAACTCTTCCCCCGACAAGATACAACAAAAGCAACAGCCACAGACCAACAACGGAATCCCAGACAGTGAAAA